CGAGTAGAAACAATTGGTTACTCTTTAAGCTGGTCTGGATTGTCTGGGCTCAACTCATTCAACCCGATGCAATGTAGAAGAAAATTTTTCCTTTTACAATTTGGAATATTGTAAATATCTTTTTTGCCCTTTTAAGGTCAAAACAAAAATTTCAATCCTAGTGAAACGTACACAGCTGAGAGAAAGGGAAGAACGTTCTTCTAAGTTGCAAGAACCTGATCATTTGAATAAATTTTAATTTTAACATCTAAAACTCCTTTGTTTGCAATTCAAGTATCTTTTGCGTTTCTGTAAATGAATGGAAGTGCAAATTGGCTCAGTGAAAAATTCTGATTTACTTTTACTTTTTAGATTAACTCTATTTTGTTTGTTTGTAAAGCTCAGTTTGGAAGGAGTACAAATACTAATATGCAGAGTACAAAATCTTGTATTGTATGTATTTGTATTTGTACTCTTTCCAAACTGAGCTTGAGGCTGTATTTGGTTATAGTGCAATTTTATTTGCACTAGTACAAATGTATGGGAGTGCAAATGTAAAAAATGCAAATTCTCATTTAATTTTGTTTTGGATTTCACTTTATTCTGCTTCATGTCTTAATTTACTTTATTGTATGCAACCAAACAAAATAAGCTAGAATTCGAAACAAAAATATGTCAGAATTTACACTCAAATTTTAGCTGCAAGTCCTTGTCATTCATGATGAAGACTTGAAGTGTGTAAGTCATCTGACCAATGTAGAGCCACTACCGTTTAAAATTGATTTTCACTATTACTGTTTTTATATTTATATTATATATGTATATCACATGGAGAACAGAGTTGGCCTTTGATTAGTACCAAGTCATGAAAGGATAGTTTGACTTGGATACAGTTAAGGGCTTGTGGCAAGTTCTTATGCTCAGTTTGGAAGGAGTACAAATATAAATATGTAGAATACAAAACTTTAAATTTTTTACTATTTTCTATGTATTTGCACTGTACATATTCGTATTCTTTCCAAATTGAGCCTTAGGAGAAATTACAACCCTTAAAAACATTGTCTCAACAAGGAGGGATTGGACTAAACCAAGAGTCTTTGGGGTCAGTTTCAAGGCCCAACGTTCAAGCAGATATCATCAGCAAGTATAAATAGGGCTTTGGGCCCATAGCTCTTGAGCATGTGAGAGTTTAATTGTATCCTGAACGCATAACAAGGACAAGTTGTCAGATCATTTATTTTCAATATCTTTTGAAGGAATTATGATCACCTGCCAACAAAACAAGCTCCAACACCCTACCAACATCTCGCTATAAAACTAAGGCCCATCATAAAATTGGGACCCACCATGTGTGAGATGTGCGGTGTCAGATATTGTTGGTAGGGTGTTGGAACTTATTTTGTTGGCAGACGATCCAGACTCCTTTTGAAGGGCTAAACAATAGGGGGTAGCCCGTCCCCTAACCCATAACCCCCCCAAGGTGCATGTGGGAATTGATCCCAAGTTTCTGCCAAGACCAACAGGAGACCTTACCAACCAACTGATTGGAAACTTGCTAATCAAGACTCCTGGGCTTTCAATGATCCGCACTTCATATGAAACAGAAAGAAAACAAGAGTAAGTGAAACAAACAATGATGTAACCTCCACTTTATGTGGTGGAGAATTTAGGAAGGTGGTGCAAAATTTGCACTAATTTTGCAATGCATAATTTAAACTGCCAATGAGTGCAAAAGACAAAAAAAAGTGCAAATTTTTGTATGAGTTAGTAATGCAGATCTGAATTAGGTGCAAATTTTGTATCCATTTCAAATTTGCATTGTGAACACATAGAACCAAGGTCCAAAGTATATTGGGAACTTCCTGATACACCCCTACAGAGGGTGTGTGTATCAGGGTTTTGACCGATTCAAGGGATGGACGGACCTTAAACTGACCCCTCTGAACCGAATTAAAAAAAAAAACTAAAAAACCTATCAATACTGCCCAATATGCCTCTACAAGCATATCTATATTTTGAACCTTGCATAGAACCTGCAAACAATTTTTAGGAGAGCAAAAAAAGGCACCAGAGATGAGATGTATGATGTATCTAGTCCAAATAGTCCATTATCATATAGAAGGGTCAGTATATCAGTTCTCCATGCGGGACAAGAGTCCTTATCACTGCAAAATTCAAAGTCTCAATTATGAAACCGAATGAGTTCAGGGCATCATGGCCTGTGAGAGAGCATGCTTATTCGACTATGATTTGCATTTTTTCATGATATGAAGTTTGTGTTTTTTGTCTCATTTTCATTTATAGTAAGGTTTAAAACATCAATACAATACTCTTAATATAGGGTGTATGATATCAGTTTCCAAGCTAGGGCATGGGTGGAATGGCCAATATTGATGCCATTCCTCCATGCCAGTTTGTATCCGTGGATATCGATACCATTCCTTTCATGTCAATTTGTATTGGCCAAAACAAACCATACATTAATATGCACCAACAATTTTGGTAAATGAATTCAATTTCAAATTAGTTTCCATTTATTAATCCACCGTTCATGTCCCTTATTTGGGGATGGACAAAAATTAAGAAAGCAATGCTATTGGAAAGATTTGAACCTAGGATCTAAACTAAGGGCATTTACCACTAACCAATAAGCAATCTCCATTGACATAAAAATTATTAACGTAAAATAATATTTATTTAAATCAAGTGTCATATTTATAATTCAAATAACTATTTCTATATTAATCTATACTAGTGGAAGGGCACATGTTATGCACGTGTGTGTTAGGATAAAATATAAGTTGACATTATATAATCAAATTTAACTCTTATAATCCCCATAGAAACCAAGGCAAGGCAAGTATCCGCTTTACAATTGTATAGATTTATGCCAATAAATGCTTTTAAGATTTTTAGTAATTTTAATAAAAGTAGTAAAAAACAGGTTATTTTTTTACTAATGATATAATTTACAATAAACAATAGCATATTTATCATTTAAATAAAAAAAATATTGTCTATAAAATTAATTAAATTAACATTAGTAATCTGCAAGAAGATATATAGCCATTGCCTAATATATATAATCATTAGCTAGCATATTAATAATTTAACATCATGTTAACTTTTATGTTGGTAATATAAACGAATAAAATAATAGAATGTAAAATAAATTTTTAGTACTAAAATAATAACTCATGAGTTACATCTTAGGTCTTGGAGTTATGGATCTTTTACGTTCTTATAGATCTAGTGTATTTTTTAAATTAATTATATATTTTGGTAATTACTAATTAATGATTAAACTTAAATAAATTATACGATATTAATGGCCTTATACACGTAGTAATTTGTAAAATAATATATAGTATACCACTGGCACTCCCATGCATTTGTAATTTTGTATCCTTTTATACTCTCCTAGATTGACGTAAGGTAAAACCTAACGCAAAAGTTAACCAAAATCTGCACTCCCATGCATTTGCATTTTGCACCATGTAAAAGTAATAAAGAAAAGAAATTACAGTGCAAGCAAGGAGAACCAATCAACCCAATCCAATCTCATCGAAAACACATGCACACATACACCTTTATTTTCAGCAAATATGTTGCTAGCTAGCCACATACTTGATCGAGTTGCGCACTATCCACAGTTCCTTTTGAATGGATCCAAAATATAAATGCCTGGCTTTCTTCCTATGCTTCAATGCTTGCTTGAATTCTGCCCCAATTGACATTTCCTTTCCCTACGGGCTAAAGGAGCGTCTCTAACCTGCTGCTGATAGCCTTTTCTTTCTCTGTAATTTATATTCAATTCAAGGACAAAATCCTCTGTGCTTGTCCTTGCTAATGATTCTATTGTAGGCATTCATTCTTAGTTTCAAAAGAGCACGTTAGAATGACAAGAGAACAGGATTTTCATAAGCACGAGCTCAAGCGCCTGAATTAGGAAATGCTTTTCCAACAAAAGTGACTCAATTTCATGTATCTTAACTTCAGGCTTAATCCATCCAAATATTGCACTCCAGAATGGTGCCAACCGACAGAAGTCAGAGCTGTAAGCTGTTCCACTTCTAATAGTAGAGTCATTTTCCAGTGTTAAACCAGTAGATCAGGAGGAGCTCGGCTGAAGTTTGGTGTTAGGAAGGAGAAAAAAAAAACAGATCTGAAGGGCACCAGATTTGCAATACATCCATTAGTCGATTGAATATCATAAGAGCATAGACCACCAAGCATCAATTGACGCAAATGGTTCCGCAAGTAATTTTTTATTAAGAATTTATAACAATGAAAAGAATTGTTTCACAGAGAATCAGAGATAACAATTAAATTAAAATGCATTAAACAAAAAGAACCTAAAGAAAGGGCTATTTTTTCAGGAACTAACTATATTCCCAATGAGATCTAAGCATGAATACCTTTCAGTAACAAACACCCAATTTTCCAGAATAATTTCACAAACGCTAAAACCCACACTCCATCTGGAATTATGGATCTTTAATTTCAAACCAACAATTAAAAGAGTCTTTCAGATTAGACAACAAGCGCGTAAGTAGAGAAACAAAACCATCACCAATCTGGGAGAAACAATAGTTTCCTTATCAATTAATGGAGGAGCAGTTCAAGCGGAAGTTGATCTAGCTAGAGAGATCTTTCAGAAACAAAAACCTACAATCAACAGCTCAGAAACCAAACCATGTCTAAGCTACTCTGATTGCAGGCTTTACAGCACTTGATGACACCAATATCATCCACACAACAAGACTAGTTCACTAGCTACTTAGAGAAGTTCAATTCTCTGTTTTAATGTAAATCGCCCAATTACCAATTTACCACGGATGTATAGGCAGGAAGTTTCCGGCCTGTGCTGAAGAGCTTCCTACTAAAATAAGGTTGAATTGCAACTTGCAACCAATAACTGATTTTGGTGAGAACTACTACAATGACTACTAATCAACCAAAAAGTTAATCCCTCCAATGAAGCAACTAAGCACTTTGGTAGTTGGTACCAACAGAAAGACTTGACTTTCAAAGAATACCAAAAACAATACATCTTCTTAATATTATATAATTAAGATGGAACAAAATATTGGGAAAACATAAAAATAACAGAGTTCAAACAACAGGAGGGAAGGGTGCTCTCAAGTTTGATGAACTGGGAGAAGATATTGCTTAGCATTTACTTCTCCCTGCCACAAGGCTACAGAACACCCAAAAGAATCCCAATCAATCATCTGTGTTCTTGCCGCAAGAACCAACATGTAAGAATTACATATAGAAGCGAGTGGAAAAGAGAATTTCTTTGTTCAATTCTCACCACCCCCATCAGGATCAGAGAATAAAGGAAAAATAAGGAAATGGAAGAGATCGCTTTTCTTTACTCCACTGTTCACCCTATACAGTCGATTCGATTAGATTCGGTTCGATCTTTCTCTGTCTTTTTAGCTGTGGTCTGTAATTGATGAATTTGAAGGACAAAGGGAAAAAGCCATAAAGCACAAGATGGGGAAAAGCGCCTCCGGCATACCTGGCTAGTAATGGATAAATTTAATGAGCTGTAGCTTTGGATCTCTTCTTTGCTTCGCTGTAAAGCACAACCCCCATAATTGTGACGGCAAATCCCGTCATCCCCATTACCGTCACCGGATTTCTAAAGATCAACACTGAAACAACGGCCGCGACGGCAGCTTTCGCATTCCCTAGCACCTGAAGCGTCAATGCACTGGTATGCTTCGTGACCAAGAAATTTGTCAAATTCACCAAATAGGCGACAGTGGCATTCCCCAAAAGAAGGAATATAATAAAAGAATCATGTCTAGCCTTCTCTAGAGTAACCACCGTTACATTGCCCTCGATGTAAAGGGTAAACGGGAGCAAAATCAAAGCAGCCATAGGAGCCATGTACAGAAGCAAATTCATGGAATGAAGCTTCTCCGCCTCCGATGTCAAAAGTATCCCCTGAACCACCGATTTCAAAGCTCGGCCGGCGGTTGATCCCACACAGATCAAGAAGCCGAACAGATGGAACAATGGTTCGCTATTGCTAGCCAAAACGATACCGAAAACGACGGGCAACAGAGCAAGGTAGACTTCCGCCGATTCCTTCTTACAGGTAATGATGAAAGCAAAAACGGCAGTAAAGAAAGGGGTGGTGGCGCCGATAGCTTGGTTGAAGGAGACGGGAAGGTAACGAAGAGAAGTGTTTCCGCAGACGACGGAGAAGCAGAAGATTGCACTGAGAGCAGCGATCTTGAGGAACTGACGACGAGAGACGATGTGCTGGAAGGGGACGAGCTCCAACCAGTGGATGGCGATGAAGCTGTAGGCGGCGCAGGATAGCATGTGGATCATGGTAAGGAAGATGGGGTAACGATAACCGTAGTAACTTAGCAGGTACTTATTGAGGAGGAGGACTCCGATGTTGGAGAAGTACCATGATGCGATGATCAGGGCCGTCAATAGGTTAGGAGACAACGAACTCCCAATGCCGCTGTTCTGGTTCCGTACGTCGCCGGTTGGGGTCGCCGGAATGTCGAGCACCTGCTCGGACTCTAGTCTCGGGTTGCTCATCCGCCTCGTCGTCCATGTTTGTGCTTCAACCATGGCCTCTGGCACCGGCTTCACAACGGCAAAAGTGGAAACAATATGGCTTCTCTAATCTCTCTCTCTCTCACCTCTTTGCCGCAGAGCAGAGAGAATAGAGAGACAGAAAGAGGAAGTACAGATCTGGAAATGGCAGAGTGGGTGAAGGAGAAAGTGCAGAGCTGACGATTGATGATGATGTGATGATAGATGTTGGTTGGGAATTGGGAGTGTGGATAGATCTAATCGGACGGCTGCTGTTTAGATTTAAGTTAGAGAGGAGGGATCAAAGGCAGTGTAGGATGAAAGAAAGAAATGGAGACTTGGAGAGGAAGAATCATTAGATACCATCATACCACGTGAGGAGGAGGAGGCGCTGAATGCATAATAAGAGTGTCGGTATTGGTTGCTTTACCTTAATTAACTACTCTAGTAAGACCCCAAGATCTTTCGGGCCGGAAAATAATGCTGGTTTGGTGCCCAAATCCAAACGTGAGTGTCAAAAAGGAATTTTTTAAGTCTCCCTTGACTGTCATTTCTTTTTTTTTTTTCGCTTCATTGGGCTACACAATAGGGGGTAGCCCATCCCCTTTCCCTTAAGTCCTTAACCCCCAACTCCTGGTGGCAACGGGATTATTTGATCCTACGTCTCTACTCCGACGAATCAGAGAACCTACCAACTGACCCACCATCAGTTCGCACTATACCCAACCAATACAACTCCGCTCCAGGTCGATTTCTGAATATGGCCCAACACAACTCCACTCCAGGTCGATTCACACATAAATCTCTCGACTTTTATGGCCTTTTCCCTACTCCCTAGACCCCAGGGGTGCTAACGCTCACGGTTAACCGAACCGGCACTATTGGTTTTTGAAAATCGGTAATCGAAATCGAACCGGTGCCAATGGGTTAATTAGTTGAACGGTTTGGTCCGTTGATTTTTTTGTTTTATTTTTTATAATATATATTATAAAAGTATATAAATATATAATACAAAATTATAAATATATATAATATTATATTTTAAATAATAAATAATATATCATATATTATAAATATATTTGATGAGGCCAGATTTGACCCTCCGCTGACCTAACAACACGTGGCACGATAGGACCGTTGCATGACACTTCAATGCCACACGAACAGTTACGGATCCCACTAAGTCAAGGAGGTAGACCTCGTAACTAGTCCAAGCACCTCATATACAACTCAGACACCTCAATAGAATAGCTAGTAGCACCTCGTCTAGGTTTGACCTGTGGTACATCGTTGTTATCGATCCAATCGACTTCGGCGTGAGGAGCAACCTCCTTGAAGACTTGTCGACATGACTTGCCGACCTAACTAAGGTCCAGGTGGTGACCTATGAGACGTATTCACCGACCTCTGCATGCATCCCATCACTCCCAAGTCTCTTGAAAGTCGACTCCTGCACCAAATATTTTGGAGGAAACCAAATAAGGCACAAAGCTTGGTCTATGTGTGTGGCTACCTCCAAGGACTTCGGACCAGTCATGCACATCTTCTTGGAGATCTCGGACACGGTGCAAGAAGCCCACGCCAAACAATGCCTATATAAAGGTCTCAATCTCCTCCCTAAGAGAAAACGTACGTGCGATCTAGCTCTCAAATACTAGCAATCTTGCTTTCAACTCTCTCTAAAACCTCCAATTCGCTAACTTAAGCATTAGAGTGCCCACACCGGGTAAAGCACCCTGGACACTCTGACCTGTCTTCTTGTAGCTCGACTAGGCGACCTAACTAACTCGACGTCTGAGTTGTCCTCCGGCAAGGAGCACCAGATCACGCATCATCAATTGGCGTCGTTTGTGGGAACCACTATACAAAAGCTAAGTTCTCATTCGTTCTTCGAGTCTTAAGTAATGGCATCCTCAAGCAACAACAACAACACCTAGATCGAAAGAACTTCCCAAGGGAAAAATCAAAACAATCGGCCCAGATAAGTTCCAGTACCCTTGCTCGGACAAAATCTCCCAACCTTGACTGTGAGGCCGCTCCCGCATGTCGAGCCCTACATGCTCTCTGTGAGAGTTGACGACCAACAGATTGTGAGGCCACCCTACAGGTAGACCTGTTCATGGGTCGGGTAGCCCAATGGCCCGGCCCGCACCCCGATTGTGCTTGGTCATGAAATTAGGCCCACGGGCCTGACCTCGAGCCTAACAGAGTAAGCCCAACTGTGTTTCGGGCTGGGCTCGGGATTTGTCAAAAAAGCTCGACCCGGCCCGATTCAGCATTATATATTTTATAAAATACATAATGTGTATTTTATATATTATATAAAATATATAAATAATATAATATTTATTGAAATATATATATATATATATATTTATTTATAATTTAATATATACATTTTTTATAATTTTTCTCTCTCTCTCTATTCAGTCGCTTCAACAGTAGGAACAACATGGGCTAAATTTTGGGCTCGGGCCCAAGTTGTAGGCCTGATGGTCGGGTCGGGCTCGGGCCTTAGAAAAATCTGTTAATACAGAGTGAAAGCCCGGCCCTGCCCGGCCCATGAATAGGTCTACCTACAGGTCAAGCCCTCCTTGGTTATCGTGGGAGTTGATGGCCAACAGATTGCGTGACTACCCCGCAAGTCGAGCCCTCCATGGTTCCTATGGGAGTTGATGGCCAATAAACTGTGGAGTCACCCTCGCAAGTCAACACTGTCGAGGTGACAAGGTGTCTGTAGGCCGAGATGCTAAGAGCGAACTAGCCTGTTAAAATTTCAACGATTTGACTGAGACTCGCTTTGGTGACCTGGACCTGCCGGCTCTCAACATAAGTAATCAGCCCGAACAAGCCTCGTCATCTCTGTTCACGATGTCGCCCCTACAAGTTGAGCCTTTCGCGATTCCTGTGGGTGTCGATTGCCAATGGATTGCAACCGCCCTTACGGGTCAAGCCTTTCAAGGTTCCTATGCGAATTGGCGACTTGCAGTTAGTAGAGTTGTCCCCGTAGGTTGAGCTCCTTGTAGTATCGTAGTAGATGACTAGCGTGTCCGAGGACTGACGCAGTGTAGCCATGGCACGAACTCACCATTCAAACATTGATAGTGATGCACGTATCAATGGCACCATCACAAGGGGGCAGAAACTAAACAACCAGCCCGGGTGAGATTCAGCAATCTGGCCCAGATTGTCTCCCAGCCCAACTGGAGAGCTCACTATTGATCGAGCCCTCCATGGTTCCTGTGAGAGTGGGCAGCGAGATGAATGTGGAACTGGCCTCATAGGTCGAACCTTACATGGTTCCCATGAGGGTAGGCGACCCCGTAGACAGTTGAGCAACCACGTCAAGGTGAACCTTCCATGGCTCTCGGAGTAGACGACCAACAATTGAATGCAGACCCAAGAGAGTCAATTCTATGTGATGGCATAGATGCAACCATGTTTAAAGCTACTACATAATGATCATCTGCTTTGGCGACCTGGTTAAACTGAACTCTAAGGGTAAGCCAAAACCACTTTCAGCATGAAGGCCCCTAAGCCAACCTCGAAATGTGTCGGCAACAGGTAGTCCGCCCTATGTAGGTCGGCCCCCATCTATCTAGCTCGACATCATTTTGATGGCCAAAATTATAACTGCTTTGGCAACCTGGACGAGCCGACTTGCAATACGTGCTCATCGGCGAAAATCTACTGAGGGGAAGCCAAACCTCTTTTAGCTAAGGCCCCCTACGTCGACCTTAGGATAAATCAACAGTTCGACAGCTTGACATCATTTTGATAGCCAAAATTATGAGTAACCGCTTTGACAACCTGACCCAATCAAATTCTAAGGGGAAGCCAAATCGCTTTCAACATTGAGCCCCCCTAAGCCGACCTCAAAATGTGTCGGCAACAAGTAGGTCGACCTATGTAGGTCAACCTTCACCTATCTAGCTTCGCAGCATTTTTGACTTTGCCGCTACTACACTACATCGATTGCAAATGGCAAAGGTATCTCATCGCCGACCTGATAAAAAAAAAGAAAAAATAAACGAAGGAAAGGAAGACTTTAGAGTGGATTTCATACAACCAGCGAAATAGAGCGCAAGTCACCTCAAGCCTCATCTTCAAACAAGCTACACCCTTCGCCAAAATGACCTCGGCTCAAGTGTGGGGGGCAATTAATGAGGGCAAATTTGGCCCTCCGCTGATCAAGCAACATGTGGCACGATAGGAATGCTATATGACACCTTAATGCCACATGAAAAATTGCGGATCCCACTAAGTCAAGGAGGCAAACCTTGGAACCAGTCTGAGCACTTCGTACAAAACACAGGCACCTCGACAAGGTAGTTGGTAGCACCTCGTCCAAGGATGACTTGTGGTACCTCATCGTTACCGTTCCAATTGACCTCGACGTGAGGAACAACCACCTTGAGGACTTGCCAACTTGTGGTACCTAGTCAGTATTGGTCAAAGTGACCTTAGTGTGAGAAGTGACCTCCCTCGAGGACTTGCCGACCTAACTGAGGTCCAAGTGGTGACCTGCAAGATGTGCTCGCCGACCTCCTCTACATGCATCCCATCACTACCGGGTCTTTCGAAAACTGAATAAGGCATAAAGCTTGGTCTACGTGCGTTACTACCTCCGAGGACTTCGGACCGGTCAAGCACGTCTTCCTAGAGATCTCGAATACGGTGCATGAAACCCACGCCAAACAATGCCTTTATAAAGGTCTCATATCCTACCTGAAAGAACGTACGTGCGATCTAACTCTCAAATACTATCAATCTTGCTTTCAACTCTCTAAAACCTCCAATTCACTAACTTAAGCATCGAAGTGCTCACACCAGGTAAAGCACCCTAGACACTCTGACCTGTCTTCTCGCAGCTTGATTAGGCGACCTCACTAGCCCAACGTCCGAGCTATCCCCCAACAGGGAGCACCAGATCGCGCGCCATCAGTATATATAATATACATAAATATATAAAATATATAAAAATATATATGCCGATCGGTTCAGTTAACCATTAATTTTCTATATTGGTTAACCGAAACTGAATTGATATCTTCGGTTTTTTTAAAACACTGAACCAACCAGTTCGGTTTCAGTCGAAATGTTTTTTTGCTCACCCCTACTTTTCCCCCCAATTTTCACCCAAAAGACCCGATTATAATAAACTACTGAAAAATATATATATAATATTAATTTATTTAATATATAATCCCACACGTATATATAGATATATTGGGTCGGGTCTGCATTGGTTTGGGATTGAGTGGAACCAATCCCAAACCAATAAGAACCGGGGCAATGTATCAAAAACCGGAACTGACCGATAAGTTCCGGTTCTTGGACCAGGACCAACACAATCGGTTCGGGTCCATTTATCCATCGGGTCCAACCCGACCCATTGACAACCCCGCCGATTAGTAGGGTTATTCAATTTTCACCGGTGGTAGAAACTAGAAACTAAAAAGCAGTAGAGACCCCAGGAAGCACA